TACAAATATTTTTAAGTGAAAGAGTTTTTTTCCGTACTTGTTCTTTTTAATTTCTTCGCGATAAAGGAAAAGAAGCTCCAATATTCTACACTGTTTTTATTTATGTATTGTATATTATAAATGTTTCCAAAATAGTAGTTTTAAATTATAATGCATTTTAGTTGACTGTCAGTAGGCCATATATCCAAAATTTATTTGATATATTTTACTTTGAGAAAAATAAATTTGTGAGCATNAACTCCGACAATAAAACTTTTTCGCCGTAAGTTTTTTTGCAGTTATGTATTTTAATATGTAATTGTTTTTCACATTTACGACACAACAAAGAATAACATTATCTAAAGTAAAACCTTTATAGCACATTCCTTTTTTATGTAACAGATAGCTATACGATCCGACAACACCGGAAGCATACTATGATATAGAACAAAATAAAATTGGTAAAGTTATAAACTTTTTATAGTAAATTATAGTAGTTTTTAAAGTGCATAAATAAGTTTTTAAATGTTTTTTTATGTAGTCGTCACTGCTGCCTTAGTACAAAAACTTATATATGACAGATATCGTCTTCCGTAAGTACNATTATTTCTAACATTATTCAAAAAACAAATTTTTTAATTTTATTTATTTTATTTATTATTTTGTCATAAGAATATTGAACTACGGAACGCTTAGATTTGTTATTGGACATCAAATTATTTATGCTTTTGAGGACAACTGTAAGTACTATCCTAAGTGTGTGTCTCAATGAGAAAAATCATACTGTGAATATTGAATACAGGTTTCTTAGATGACAACGTTGCGTATTCGGAGAGGATTCTGCCATTGTACAAAAATATAACGCAATGTTTCATTGACTAATGATTACCTGATCCCGGAAGTAGAAGATAAAGTTATTTGCGTAAGTAAATCACGTGACAAAACAAAAGTGCGAAATAAACTTTTCTTTATTTAATGGTTATTTAGATATGTTTTTTTTCTCAAAAGTTAGTAGTTTATGTTTATTGCGTGTCGTATATTATATAGATTTGCATAGTTTTTTAGGTAAACGGATCGTTAACGTGTCCAGTGAACATGGGCGATTCTGCTGAAATTGTTGCTGCGTATCACACATATAAAAACTAGAAAGCGGATTTACCCGAGATAGAGTGGCGGTTACAGGATTTGAAGAATTACACCGATGAGCAACTTTTTTTTTATTTATGCTCAAGTAAGCTCCTAATAAAGTTTTACGATATATGAAGAAGTGTATAGAAATTACAGTTAACAAGTGGCTGATAAATGTACATAGATAATACAAGATAATAATATCATTCTGTCTTTTAGTTTTTCTGCGAAACTGCTTTATCGGAACAGATAAAAAAGGATATTGTTGAGAATGAACACTCGGTAATGGAAATTAGAATTTGCGGCAGCTTGTCGAACTCTCGTGATTTCTCCGAGGTTTACAATTGCCCTCTGGGAACTCCAATGAATCCGAAGAAAAAATGCNTACTTTAGTTCTAAACCAAAGAGTAATGAGATAGAAAAGCAATAATATTACAATTGTCAACGCAGTTTCTTTTTATTAGCAAACATTTTTTAAAATATAAAACTGACATACTTTTACATACATGTACTGGAATCTAAAATCTATACTTTAGCAATTACAGTACAATAACGTTTTTCTTGAATTAAAAAGAATTATAGAATTTAAATGCATAATTTTAGATATTTAGTATAAGGTTAGACTATTTGTAACTGCATAATTTTTAAATCATTATTAATTGCTTAAAAAAACTTACTGAGAATAATTTATTTTCCTTCATGTGCAATAACTTATTCTCGAGTTTTTTTTCATGAATCAAACATTCCATGACGTTTCACACATTAATGTAGTTCCTTGCTATATAACGCATTATGTCGCATGTATAATTGTTTCGAATCTTATTAAAATAATATGGTTTCTTATGTATTCGTTGAAAACTTGTCTTAAACAAAAGAATTGTAAAACGTCTGAGGATGCAAAATGTACAAAAAACTGTTTCACGTGTATAATTGNCACTGTGATACGAAACAGAAGTGATTAATGTTTGAAAAAAACCTGTTGAAAAACATTACAATACGATTAATCGTGAAGTCATTCAAATTATGAAATTTTAAATTAAAAGATATTGTTAAGGCACTGTACTTGTATTAAGACTGTAAATATCATTTTCAAGACAAGTAACGGAGAAATGATAAAAACTACTGAAATGCGACTTTTGATATTTGAATATTTCCGAACCAATTAGAAGGCAAACACGAGCATGACACGTGATTCGTATAAACACCACGTAGGAGTAAGAGTGTAATTCCAAATATCAAACAAGTTAGTCAACTTTCGTCCTCGAGACGCTACGATACCAGATAGGTACTGTTAAAATATCGTATAGCAAACCTACGTTAACGCGGTAACAAATATACCTTGCGTGTAGTTTTAATTACACTCGTTACGGAATACTTTTACGTCTGACTATTTGAAAAGAAAGAACTATTTATTAACGAAAAATANAAATTTCTCATTAAAATAAAACATTTTATGTAGATGCGTACCAAATGTATATTTAATGACTGACAGTTTTTGAACAAGTGCTACAACAAATTACTTGGTACATACATACATAAGTCTTAGTTAACCTATCCAGGCGCAAATATAACGGTATCGTTTATGTTTTATTTATTTAATTTGTTTATGTAACTTTCTTTCTATATACTTCTTGAACATATTTCCAATTATAAAAAACATTTAACTCGTGCGTTTTTCTCTTTTGCGATTGTAGTTCATTAGTGATTATCCTTGAAATCGCGAACACGAAGAAAAACACAAGTGGTGCCGATTCAGCTTTGAGCAAAATCACACTATGGGAACTTGTGTCTTTATGTAAGAGAATTAATATTACAAATATTACAATTATATTTACTATAATCATTGTATAGTGGCAAACACATACGTCTTTGTAACAATATTGATTCTATATTTCTGGTTTTGTATTTGCAACATTTTTACAGAGTTTTTCTGATAGCGTATATTACGTTTTANATTCCAACGACATATAGTACTAAACATCGGCCAATTATAATTTGCACTACAGAAGAATGTATAAATTCAGGCGCGTATATGTTAAAGTATTAAAGTATATGTTAAAGTATTATATGTGTTATAAAGTATTTGTATTTTGCTTCGTAATTTGTNCCATGTATGTATGATTACTTAAAAAACATTTATTTCTATAGCTTCAGAGATGTTATCGAAACTTGATCGTGCCGTTGATCCTTGTGACAATTTTTACAACTTTGCTTGTGGAGGATGGTTACAACATAACCGAGCAAATTTATCATTCCCAAAAGTTGACATCTTCTCACTGCTCAAAAGAAAGACAGAGAATCAGATTCGAGGTAATAAAATTATTATATTACCTTTTTTTTGTTTTCTTATAAATCTAACCAAAAATATATATGTACAAAGAAAACTGTGAGAATACGCAAATTAAGTCGATTTAAAATTATATGTTTGATAGCAAATATTTAGTTATTGATCCAAAATTGACGGCAATTAACTTTTTTATTACTTTTTTTCGATCGACCAGTATAAAGTCATTTAAAACCACAAAATAACAAAAATATAAATTATAAACGTCAAGTTTGTCAATTAATATATTAAAAGAACATAATACCTAACTGTTATACGGCTGTATAAACCCTCAAAGAAGCATATATGTATAATCAATCATAATAAATCAAAAGAGACACGTGAAAGTCAGAAAAGTAAAACTATAAACATAAACATTATCTTGATGTGTACTTTGTGCAAAGCTAAACAAAGAACTTTGAATGTTAAACTTGTTTTCTCTCATTGGAGATTTTCAAACAAATCCTCGTGTATGCGCGTTATATTTTTAAAATAATTGAAATGTATTACACTAAAACTCCTCTTTTTTTCTTCTAAGAATTCTAAATGTTTCAGAATTTTTAAAATTTTATGCAATTTTAGAGAGTGAGATACNTTGCGCGAAAACTGATATTTTTTATCTCATAAAACTGCGTGTAAAACTATTTATTTTATATATATATATATATATATATATATATGTAATGATATTAATATTAGTATATTTAATAATATTAATATTCCTATCAATAATATTATTAATTGTAATAGNAAAGCAAATTTAAAAATTTATATGATTTTATGTACATGTAATATTCCGTCGATTTCTTTTTCGTAGAAATGTTAGAAGCACCAAACAACCCAAACGATACTTTTTTCTTGCTAAAAGCAAGACAAGTATTCGCGCAATGCATGAATCACAAAACTGACAAAAATACAAGTAGTAAAGCAGTCGAAATGACCAACTCCACCACTGTGAAAACAAATGATATCGCACGTGTCGAGATGGACAAAGAAAGTAGACAAAGTGATGGAGACGATACAAAGTGGAAAAAATGCGTGGACAATGTTAGAATGTATACTGCTATTTCGCATGAATATATCAAGAAATACGCATCGCATCTAGAAAATTCAGAATACCTAGAGGACGTAAGTTTACTGCGAAATTAAAAAAACTTATTGTATATGACAATAATTTAACTCGTACTAGAAAGTAAACTCATTGCAGATTAGAAAGATAGCCGCGGACGTTCACAACGTCGTTCAAGAACAAATGAGAAATTCTACGTGGATAGACCAAGTTACAAAAAAAGCGTTTCTTGAAAAACTTGAGCATATAAAGTACGAATTTATTAAACCCGAGTGGTACAGCGACGAAGCTATAGACAGATTTTATAAAGGCGTAAGTCACACACTTGCTAGAATACGAATATTTTTAAGTAAAAGAGTTTTTTTCCGTACTTGTTCTTTTTAATTTCTTCGCGATAAAGGAAAAGAAGCTCCAATATTCTACACTGTTTTCATTTATGTATTGTATATTATAAATGTTTCCAAAGTAGTAATTTTGAATTATACTGTATTTTAGTTGAATGTCAGTAGGCCATATATCCAAAATTTATTCAATGTACATTTGTACGAGAGAATTAAAATTTTGAGCTTATGGAAATCTGACAATAAAACTTTTTCGCCGTAAGTCTTTTTGCAGTTATGTATTTTAATATGTAATTGTTTTTCACACTTACAACACAACAAAGAATAACATTATCTAAAGTAAACACTTCATATCACATCCCTTTTTTATGTAACAGATGGCTATACGATCCGACAACACCGGAAGCATACTATGATAGAGAACAAAATAAAATTGGTAAATTTATAAACTTTTTTATAGTAAATTATATTAATTTTTAAAGTGCATAAATAAGTTTTTAAATGTTTTTTTATGTAGTCGTCACTGCTGCCTTATTACAAAAACCTGTATATGACAGATATCGTTTTCCGTAAGTACTATTCCTTCTAACATTATTTAAAAAACAAATCTTTAAAGTGTATTTTTTTTGTCATAGAATATTGAATTACGGTGCGCTAGGATTTATTATTGGACANCATATCACTCATTTTTTTGATGACAATTGTAAGTAATATCTTATGTGTGTGTCAATGAAACAATTATGCTATGTATATTGAATACAGGTTTGTTAAATGACAATTTCGCATTTTTGGAGAGAATTGTGCCATTGTACAAAAATATTACGCAATGTTTCATCGACCAATACAATGATTACCTGATCCCGGGAGAAGATGAAATTATTCGTGTAAGTAAATTACGTGACAGAGCGTAAAAGTGCGAAGTAAACTTTTTTTTATTTAATGGTTATTTAGATATGTTTTCTTTTTCNAAGGTAAGTAGTTTATGTTTATTGTGTGTCGTATATTATATAGATTTGCATATTTTTTTAGGTGAACGGGTCGTTGTCGTGTCCAGTGAACATCGGCGATTCTGCTGGTATTGTTGCAGCATATCACGCGTATAAAAACAGAAAAGCAAAGCTACAAGAAACTGAATACCGATTAAAAGGCCTAGAGCATTACACCGATGATCAGATTTTTTTTCTGAGTTATGCTCAAGTAAGATTTTAAGAAAATATTACGAATACATTAAGAGGTGATGGAAACTACGATCAACTTCAACGAACTAGTGGTAAAAATACGTGGATGATAGAAAATTGTAATATTCGTTTTTCTTTTAGTTTTTCTGCGAAACTGTTCTGCCGGAACATGTACATAAAAACATTGTTCGAAACAAACACTTGTTAAAGGAAATTAGAATTCGCGGCAGTCTATCGAACTCTCGTAAATTTTCCGAGGTATACAATTGCCCTCTGGGAACTCCAATGAATCCAAAAAAGAAGTGCGCACTTTGGTTCTAAACCGAAAAGTAATGAGATAAAAAAGCAACATAATTACAATTGTTTACACAGTTTTTTTCTTCTTTTGCAAACATTTCGTACAATTGTACAACTATTATATTTTTGATATACATATTAAAAATCTATAAAACCTGAGCAGTTACAATAACGGTTTTTCTTGAATAAATANGAAATATGTAAGTTTAAATATAGGTTTAATACTGTTAGTATAATGTTAAATTAATTGTAAGTGCATAATGTTTAAATTATTCACAATTAATTAAAAAGAAAATTAATCACAATGTTGTAATTTTNTTGATAGATAGATTCTTATGATAGATAGACACTAGTTAGGATTCTTCACAGTTTGATATATTTATTTATATAAAACATAAGTATGTATATTTAAAAGTAAAACATACATACTTATGTTTTATATAAAACATAATTTAAAAGTATATTTAAAAGTGTATATGAATGTAACAAATGAATGCAATAAATGTTTGTTAAGAAAGACATGTGCAACAACATATTCTCCTTCTTTTTTTATGTGAATATCACACATCTATCTAAATTCGTTCTAAAGTTTTTGTTCTTAAAATGGAAACCTTTGAAGTTGCCAAAATTTAAATTGTAATTAAAGTTGTAGGTAAAAATTTAAATTTAACTTGTAAAATTTATTGAAATATTTTACGTTTTTGTTTACTTTTTCTCTCGCAAGTCAACAACGNGAATTCTATAATTATTTTAAAAACAATCGTATATCCTAATATATAAATTAAAAGAAATATAAAAAATCATTGATACCTTATTAAAACTGACTGATCTTATTTGATCGTTAGGATAACGCGCTTATCTCTATGTGTTTATACAAATTACGAGCATGTTACGTGATACTTCNACAACTAGAAACTTTAAACATNCATAAATCATGAAAACTGTTATATGTATAATTCTCTACGGATTATGTCTGCACAAGAAAAATAAAAAATAGTAATATATTTTTTATTTTTTTTGTCCAGACATGATCCGTATAGAATTATACATACAGTTTTCATGATTTCTAGATGTTTAAAGTTTCTAGTTGTGGGATTATCACGTAACATGCTCATGATGACCTCTGATTGGTCTAGAAATATACCAATTAGAGGCCATCACGAGCACGTTACGTGAATTGTATAAACACATAGGGATAAGCGCGTTATTTCAACGATCAAATAAGATCAGTCAGATTTAGCCCTCGCAATGCTACGTAGTAAGTAATGACAAAATATTGTACAAAAAAGTGATATTAACGCTGTAATAAATATCTATTTTATGTGTACTTTTAGATAAATTTCTCTTGTTGAACTGAAACACTTTGTGTAGATATATGTGTATCATATGCGTATGTAACGTACGACATTTGAACAAGTGCATAACTTGGCATATAATACACGAATCTTAATCAAACTATCTCGACGCACACATATAGGTATAGTAGTTTCTGTTTTATTTATTGTTTTATTTTTTTAAAGGTAATTTTTTATACAACACATTTCCGACTATGAGAAAAATTTAATTTTGAACATTTGTTTCTTGCGACGGCAGTTTACTCAGTGTCCATCTTGAAAATCGCGAACACAAAGTCGACAAGAAGCAGTGCTGATTCGCCTTCGTATTTTGTGTTACAAACTTATGACACACTATGGAAATGTACCATTTCTTTATGTAAGACATAAAATAATATTACTAATATTACAAATATATCTACTATACACCAATTTTATAATAGCACACACATATGTCTCTATAACAATATTAATTACATATATTTTGTTTTGTATTTCTCACATTTTTGCAGAAATATTCTGATATCCGTCGCATTTGCGCACGTTACGTTCGGCGCTCCAACAAAAAATAGTAATGAATTTAGTCAATATACATTATGCGCCACTGATGAATGTATAAACGCTGGTACGTTTATAAATTCTGTTTATAATTTCGCTCGTATAATTTATCTTCTATGTTTGGCTACTTAGATAGATTTTTTTTATATTTCTGTAGCTTCCAAGATTTTAGCCAATCTTAGTCGTACAATTGATTCTTGTGACAATTTTTATCAATTTGTCTGTGGCAAATACGCACATAATAATCAAGTCAATGACTCGTTTCCATTAATTAAGTCATTTGCAGAGATCCAACAAAAAAACAAAAATTCATCTCAGAGGTAATACCGTTTTAATATGTTTACTATGTATATATATATATATATATATATATATATATATATATATGTACGTATATATAAATAAAGATATACATAAACAGCAAAAACATTTGCAAACCATATATATTTAGTTTATCGAAATTTATATTAATCGAAATATATATGTGTATATGCATATACATATATAACTCCGTCATTTTTTTTGTGTAGAAATCTTAGAAGAACTTCCTAAGCCAGGCGATACTATGTCCCTGCTTAAAGCAAAAGTTATATTTGCACAATGCGTAGATAACGGTTTGTATCTCATTACACTGTATATTGCACAGTGCTCATTAGTACGTCTTATTTAAAAAAAACACAAAACAACTAATGTNTAAATTAAAAAAAAAACGCTTATTTTTTTTTAATTTAATTTTCAGAAAACGGAACAGATAAGGAAAATATATACAGAATCTATACAGAAATTGAAAAAAAAGATCCCTATTTGTGGCTATTGGGTGTATCTCGTTCCGAATGGAAAAAAAGTAATTTGACGTAGCAAGATGTAAGCACTACCTTGCTTGAAAATGGGTTTGATAATGGCCTTTTCGAAATAACAGTGTTACCGGATATCAGAATGTCCAACAGTAACGTTACTCTTGTATGTATATTATAATTTAATCAAAATATAAATTATAAAATTATATTCACAATTATATCACGTACACATACATATTATACGTATTTATCTTTCGCGTAAAAGAGTAATTGAAGTATCAAAAGCAATTATATCATTATATTTCACACNAACGACGTACACACATCTGTTATATAGTGTAACATATATAGAAACAGATAATATTATGAAAAATGTGTTCTTAGATTGATGGACCTTTACTCTCTTTATCACTAAACCACAAGTTTAAGTTTTTTAATTTCTCATTTCCCAAATGGACTGAATATCTAATGATATATGATAAATTCGACATTGCATTTATTGCGAATAATTTAGCACAAGAGAATAGTGAAACTGACAAAATTAGAAACATTACTCAAGACGTACATGACGTCGCAACGTTTTACATACAAATACTAAATAGCGTTAGTATAAACAACCATTATATGTTAATATCTTAAAATACATGTTTTTTAAGCAATTCTTAAATAATATAATGCCACTTTTTTAATACTTTAAAAAATTTTTTTATGCTCTNTGAAATATTTCTTATCTATCCTATGAAAACAAAAGTTAATTATACAGAGTTTGTAATAGCTCATTGCATCAAGTGACTATTTTAATTGTTTCAATTCTTACAGCTGACAGACTCTCAGGAATATGAAAATAAAGATGTTAATTATGTTTCGTTAACCATTCAACAATGGCAAGAAGAATATGATAAACAACATCCCAGAAAAAAGGAGAAGGTTTGACTCTATGCTGGTTAAAATAATTCAATATGTATATTCAATGACTAAAACACCTTGTTTTGTTTCTTTCATTGCAGATTGACTGGTATCACACTATTCAAAAAGCATTTTTGTCAGAAGGAATCGCAATTGAACCGTCTGAAAAGATTGCCGTTTCAGCGTATAAATATCTTATCAATTTGATANCTGTGTTAGAACAAACATTATCTCGCACTATTGGTAAGATTGTCGAAAGTTTAAAAGAACGTTACTTTAATATAAAATATTTAAAAAAATGTTTCATCATATCAGTAATGTAATTGTAACTGCAGTTAATTACATGCATTTGTATCTAAATTCCAAACTTCGACCATATATGAGAAAATTAACACACTACACAAAACGAAACAGACACAAAAGGAGAGACTTGCTTGAATAAAGTCGACTTGAAATCCGNTATTTTGCATGAATATGTCAAGAGATACATGTCGCATTTAAATATCCAGGCCGTAAGTTTGATAAAAAAAAACATATAAAACAATACTTTATATATTATAAAACACATTTATTTTAGATCAGAGAAATAATTATGGACATCACAAACGTCGTTCGCGAACAACTAAGACATTCCACATAGATGGACGAACCTACAAGAAAAGCGTTTCTCGAGAAACTGGCAAATATGAGGNGCAAAGTTATTAACCCCGATTGGTACAGCGACGAAGCTATTGACAGATATTACAAAGACGTAAGTACATTTTCTGAAAAAGAGAGCAAATTATTTCTAACAACAAGAAGTAGAACATTTTTATATTTTAAATTATTTTCTCTTCTTTTTGCGATGGAAGAAGAGAAGCGCTAATATCTTACATTTTATTTATTTATTTATTTATTTACGTATCGTTACGATTCTTTACAAAAGAAATACTTTTTAAAGAATTATTGTGTATTTTAGTTGGTTGTCGGTACGGAATATTTCGACAATATCATAAATATACTCAAATTCGAGAAAAAGAAAAAAATGAGCTTGCTAAGTACAAACGGCGTCATTAATTCGAAGAATAGGCGCGGGGATCACATAAAAAGTCTAGTTGATCCAAATATCCATTAGTCCCAAAATCGGGTGTCCAGTTGTGGACACCCGATTGCTACTAGTTAGTAAGGCGCCCGTTGGCGCTACGAGCAATCGCCCCGCTTGCCCTCCGATCCCTGCGCCTATTCTTTGAATTAATGACGCCGTCTGTACACCCGTCGACAAATCACAGTACAAATTTTTTTTTTGCACAATTTTCTCGTACAATAAATATATTATTACACATACTATATAAATATTGAAATTTTTATATCAATAGATTGAGAAATTTAGTGTGTGTAAATATTCTTGTTTATTAACGAAAGAAATTTTATATCTGTACTTTTGTTTAACAGATGGAGTTACGAACCGACAGATCCGATAGCTTACTACGTTATGAATCTTAATAAATTCGGTAAAAGTTTTAAATCTGTTAAAAGATAATATCACGTGATAAAATCATTTTATAATAATTTACATTTTATTATTAATCATCTATTTTGGTGTTTTTTTTACGTAGTTATTACTGCTGCCTTGATGCAAAATTGGGTAAACGACAGTCTTTTGTAAGTATTCTTACATGTAAAAACCTAACAAAAAATACGGTTGTGGTAAACATCTTTAAACATTTAAACAATTTTTTTGTATTGTATTAGATTTCTGAACTACGAATCGGTGAGATTTATTGTCGCACACGAAATGAGTCACGGTTTTGATAATGAAGATAATTAGTTTCTCACTCTTATAACAGTGAGAAAAAATTAAATATAAAATATTGTTTATATAATAGGTTGCANATATAACATGGACAGCAACGCAATACCGTGGTGGACGCAAAAATCTATTGATGCATACAAAAACATAACGCAATGTTTCATTGACCAATACGATGAGTATCTGGCTCCGGGATTAGAACATGAGGATATTCACGTAAGTAAATTACACGTTACACATGCAGCAAAAAGGAGCTGACAAAAAATTTTTATATTTTTGTATAATTNGAAGATCTCTAATTGTTTGAAACAAATTTTTGTGTTCTCCTGTTTTTTTCTAATATGTATAAAAAGTCGCATTTTCTCAGGTAAACGGACAATGGACACTCAATGAGAAAATTGCGGATTTCGCTGGAATTACAACTGCATATTATGCGTACAAGAACAAAAAAGCGAGATCGGATGACGGCCGTGAATGGCGGCTGCAGAGAAGATTACAACAATGATCAAGTTTTCTTTATGGCTTTTGGTCAAGTAAGTAACTAATAAGATGTTACAAATACAACGAGATGTGCAGAAACGTCGGTCAAATAAACAGTTGATGAAAATACATATAAAAAATATTAACATTTNTTTTTTTTGTAGATATTCTGTTCCAATACCTTGCCCGAAACGTTAAAACAGCATATTTTTAAAGATCATTCCGTATCTGAAATTAGAGTACGTGGCAGTCTTTCGAACTTCCGTGAATTCTCCGAGGTTTACAACTGCCCCGCGGGGAAGCAAATGAATCCGATAAAGAAGTGCTCTTTTTGGTAACAGAACGACGAGGAACGATATAATGTGTTTTTATTTATTATAAATCTACAAAATTTTAAACGCCTTTCTTTCTACGTAGAACAAATATTTTATTTGTTAACTGTACATTCACCAAATGTAACTCTATATTTTGTAACTCTTTATGAATGTATGAATGTGTGAATACTTGGATTTTGAGAAATACATTTTTGAGAAATGCATTTGCAGCAATATGTTTTTANACTTTTTATTAAAAATTCTCTTATTTTACATGTGCCATTGTCATATTTGAATACAATATTTTTTCTCGCAGATAGTACGCGTGTTACATAAGTTTTCGTATATTTCGTGAATCTTACTCAACACATTCTTTTTATCACGATCGGTATTCTCACCGACTTTTTTGGCTCGCAAAGATTCGCGGTTTTTTTTCTGCACTACATAAAATTTAAAATTACTTGAAGTTATTATATAAAATTACTTAAAGTTATTATAATTAACTCCTAGCGCGCAGTACTTTAAACTCCTTATAAACTGGACAAACATATAAACGCAAATAGAATCGACTCGATAGCTGGTTTTATATAAAAGCAAAAAAATTATTGGCTACAGCGTTATTTCTTGTCACGCGTAATACGTTGACACATTCTGTNTAAAACCATACCGAGTCTCAATCAGATAACAAAAAAAAATAGAAAACTACAAATGTGACTTTTGGTATACCTTTAGGTCTGTAACATGGCGAACACGAGCATGAAACGTGTCATAAACATCACTTGGTAGAAAACGATTTATCTCGCGCTATCCCACAAGTACAACTAGTCAGGTTTAGTCCGTGCAAGCATCAATAGTTGGTAAGTAATGTGCTAAGAATTAAAGTTTATAACACTCTTTTACCACTATTATAAGTATGTATTTTACGTGTACTTCTAGACGACTTCCTAGTAAAAAAATTTTAAGTCTGATCTTTTCGATAGAAAAGAAATTACTATTTTTTAACTAAAGATAAAAATCTCTTGTTGGACAAAAACATTTCATATAAACGTATGCGTTCTTAATGTACGACATTTGAACAAGTGCTCTGCTACATTGCTTGTCATATGTACATGAGGTAATTATATTCTCAAGTCGCAAATATATGGTATGCTCCTTAATTACTTTTTAATTATTGTCTTCTATGTAACTGTTTATATAATTCAAAAACTTATTATAATAGAAATATATTTAAATTTGATATTAATTTTCCAATAGAAGTTCATTGTGACCATCACCGAATTTGCAAATACAAAGTTGAATAAAAGTGTATAAAATTACGCTAAGATCATATTTTGTTTTAAACTTCTCATATATGGAGACGTACGACTTCTTGATGTAAGAGTTACAATTCAAAATGTTACATAATAATATGTATCAAAACATANAATTACGTAAAAATGTTTTTGTTTTGATTTACTTTTACATTTTTAGTTGCAAAAATGTTTTTATAATGTTTGTATTGGCACCATTTTTGCAGAGTTTTTCTGACAGTTATAACGTACGCGCACGTTACATATGACGCTCCGACGATGAACAATAATAGATATAGTCACTTTAACTTATGTGTTACTGATGAATGTATAGACGCAGGTATGTGTAAAACTTAATTTTATTATTGTTNTTATACAACTTATTTAATGTGTTCTTATTTTATAAGTAGTATCAATAAAAAATTTTGAATTTTTATCCAGCGTCAAAGATTTTAGCTAATTTAAACCGCACAGTTGATCCTTGCGATGATTTTTATAAATTTGCTTGTGGCGGATGGATGCAAAATAACCGAGCAAATTAGTCGTTTTGATTTTTGAACGCATTTACAACGGTCAAGAGAAGGGAAATGCAACTTTGAGGTGATACAATTTTATTATAAATTTATTATGTATGTGTTTATATGTGCTTAAATTACAAGGCAAAATTACGTTTTGGCTGCAAATATTTACTTATTATACTAACCGAACGATAGAATCCATCTCATTTGATGAGTCATTTTCAATAAATAGTGCCACTTTCATTTACATGAAAATGACTGAAAAATATTTACTTCTTTTCCTCTTCTTTAGAAATAAATAACTTTTAAATTTTAAAGTTGTTTTCTTAGCGAAAACTTTCAAACACACACGGTGACATATGAANTTTAATATTTTGAAAGTAATTATTCTAGTAAAATTGCAAATCGTAAAGTTTTGGACAACCTAAACTTTCGTGCTTGATAATATAAAACACAATGCGAGACAAAAAATTATTATTTATGTTTTTTTGTAATTGTTTTAGTTTTGGGTACAGTAAAATTTTTTATAAAATATATATACGTTGAAACACAGTTTTTACATTATATATACGTAGACTTGTCTACCACTCTGTTTTGTTTGTTTGTAGAACTCATAGAAGAACCCAGTAAGGAAGATGATACTAAATCTCTGCTAAAAGTAAAACAAATTTATGCGTAATGCATGGATATTGGTATGTATCATTATTATTGCAAAAATACATTAATTATCACAAATATTTTTACTTTGTTATAAAAAAAAATAGTTAAAAATATTAAATCTATATATTTATAAAGTTTAAAAGAAAAGTGTACCTTTCAATAAGATTTATTTTCTGAATTTCAGACAATAACTCGTACGCAAAAAACTATAACGCCATTATAAAAAAATATGTTGAATGGCCATTGATTATAGCTTCTCGCAAATGGGACGTTAAAACTTTGACATGGCAAAATGTTAGCAATAATTTGCATGAGAATGGTTTTGAAAACGGCATTTATAATATTACCGTGTTAGCTAACAAAACGTCCAACAGTAACGTCATATCTGTATGTATATTACACATTTATATATAAACTATACTACGAATCATATTAATTTCTAAAATAAATACTTTATATTTTACTTCTCATGTATCATTTGCAAAAAGCACTGCATATGTATACTTGTTATAAAAACCATAGTATACAAACTCTTGTGTGAAAATATAACCTGTATAAAATTACTATTTATTTTTAGATTACTGAGCCTTCTTTGCATTATCTGCGGGATATGTTTTGCTATAGCAAAACGCCTATCTGGAAGAACATACATGTATCCAACATCGTACGCACTGCAAAATTTCTTATAGAAGAAAATAACGTAACTGTCGATTATGACATTCTTACTCGAGATGTTCGTGATATGGTACAATTTCAAATGGAACTGGCTACCGTTAGTATAAAACATTATAATATTATAACAAAAACGTGCATGTAATTTAAAATGTTTAAATAAGATTTTAATTCATTTCAAAATACTGTTTACAATGTGTCATTTAATATTTCGTACATGTTCTATACAAATAATATTTGTGTTACTGCTTACAGCTGACAATAGACTATGACAAAAGTAATACTACTGATATTTATATACCGTTAACAATACAATAATTGCAAGAAGAGTATGATAAACAACATTCTAAAGAGAAGGGAAAAGTGTGGCTAGATATCAATTATATGTTTTATTTGAATTACATAGNGGTAAAAGTTATTCTAACTTAATATTTACAGATTAATTGGCATCTAAAAATTCAAAAATTATTTACGTCACAAAAATTGCAATTGAAGTATCTGAGAAACTGATCGTTNAAGCGTACAGATATCTGACTAATTTAGTACCGTTATTAGAGCGCACACCATCTCGTGTAATTGGTAAGAGTTTTAAAATAGTAACATTTAAATTCAAAATTAATAAAAATCGAATAACACAAAATAAAATAGTGATAAAAAAAATATATTATCCATTCACTAATGTAATTGTAATAACTGCAGTTAATTACATGCAATAGACCTTAATCGACAAGATTCTTAGCTACATCCAGCAAGCAAGAGCAAAAAGTGATATCGCACGTGACAAAAGATAAAAGACTTGCGTACAAGAATCACCTTTGAAAATTGCTATTTCGCATAAATATGTGAAAAAATACGTATTGCACGAGAGTATACAAATCGTACGGTTCTTGTAAAGAAACGAGATATTTGATATACTTCAGATGAATTACTTATATATATTGTACAACAAAATCATTATAGATCAGAGAAATACTCACGAATATAAAATACGCTATTAAAGAACAAATAGAAAATTGCACTTGGATAGACGAGTCTTCAACACATGCATGTCTTGAGAAACTTACATGAGGCAGGACAATATCAAACCCGAGTAGTATAGCGACAAAGCTATTGACAAATATTATGAAGATGTAAGAAAACTAACTGTAAAACAATAATTATTATTGTATGCAACTTTTCTTGTCTCTTTGTATCGCGTTACATGAAGATAAGTTCTAATAATGTACATTTCTTTGATTTATTTGTTCCATTGTATTGTTATAAGATGTTACAAAAAAATACTTGTTAAAACTTTGTAATGCGTTTTAGATGAATGTCAGTACAACATATGCCGGCAGTTTAATAAGTGGATTTAAATTCGAAAGAAAGAGAATGTTTAACTTGTTAAGAACTCCCGACGACAAAACCTTTTTGGGGTAAGACGTTTTACACTTCTGTTTTTCAATACTTATATATTACGTTTGTGTAATATGTATGTATATAATATGTAATACATTATAAAACATACATGTTACATTATAAAAAANTATAATAAAAATATTAAATCTACATTAAGAATCTTATATGGATTGTATTTTTGTGTAATAGATTAGTTATAAACTCGATAGTGTCGCACAATTACTACATTCNATTTCGCAATGCATTTGGTAAAGTTTTATACTTGTTAATACTATGCCAAGAACTTAGTAAAAAGTTTCTATTTTATTAATAAGTTATTTTGTCATTTTTTACATGTAGGTGTTTTTGTTGCCCTATTACACAGTTCTATATATAATATAAGTCGTCTTCCGTAAGTAGTTTTAAAACATATAAATTACACAAAAAGCACATTTCTTTAAAAGAATATTAAAANTTTTTATTTTGTACCAGATTTTTAAACTACGGATCTCTAGGATTTGTTATTGGTCATGAAATGAGTCACGGTTTTGGAATTAGTGGTAAGTAAATTTCTAGTTTTTAGTACAAAAAATATCTTAATACAGCATATTATTTATAGAAAGTAAGTACGACAAGGACGGCAACGCCGCATCATTATGGACGCAAAATATCACCGACAAGTATGACAAAATAATCCAATGTTTTATTGACCAGTACGATAAATATCTGTTTCCGGGACTAAAACATAAGAATGTTTACGTAAGTAAAGCACTCACACACACGTGATACACCAGAAAAGTGACACATCGGCTAAAATCTTTNGAAGTTCGTTGAATTCGTTATGTAAATTTTTTTAAGGCAGATTATTTTACTTTTGAGTGAGGTTTTTACATATAAAGATATGTAAACAGTCGAATTTTCTCAGGTAGACGGATCACTGACGCTTGGAGAAAACATTGCCGATTCCGCGGGCATTGTAGCTGCATATTACGCGTATAAAAACCGGAAAGCAAGACTAAACGAACCTGAGTGGCGGCTACAGGGACTGGAGCAATATAGCGATGATCAGATTTTTTTCTTAATGTATGATCAAGTAAGTAATTAATAAAGTGTTAAGCTATACAATGATATGCACATAAGTTTAATTCATCTAACAATCAATAAAAATAAAAGGACAATAAGTAGATAATAGTAATATTATTATTTTTTGTTTTGTTTTAGATGATGTGCAAAGATATTTTTCCGGAAGTTTTGCAAAACCGTACATTTGATAACCATCCTCGAATGGAAACTAGGATTCTTGGCAGTCTTTTGAATTTTCCTGAATTCTCTGCTGCTTACAACTGCCCCAAGGAAAAAAGAATAAATCCTGAAAAGAAATATGCTCTGTAGCAATGAAACGACAAAGTTATATGTAATTTTTGTAACTATAAAAATGCGAACACGATGCCCTTCTTTCCCAAACAAGATATTTGGGAGATAAATTTGTTAGATAAATTACGTCTACATATGTATACATATGTATACGTCTATATATACTATATGTAAATGTGTAATAAATTTTCATTTTTAATATAGTAAAATATTTGCAAAATNATCTTGTGTTTTTTGCATCAGTAGTTCCACTAAAGTATGTTTTGTCAACATCTGTGCGAAAACCGTTATAATTCTTGCTGTACTTATCCTCGGATCTTGCAAAGATAAATTTTCGTGCAATTTAGTATACTGATATTTCATTGTTTTTGTACTTTTTGCAAGTCATTAAGGAAAACTAAACTTTTTTGCGATTATCAGTAACGTATATGATCCAAGAAATTGCACAAAGTATAAATATCTTATAATTCGAGTAGTTTTGCGTCAATTAACACTGTAAAAGTTTTTTGTAATTTTTGCTGATATATCATACAAAATCAGACTTTATAATTCAAAAATATTTGTAAAATTTAANGATTACATTATTTCGGTAATTTTTCTTAATTCCACTATAGTCACCAAATTATAAAATTTTACTTTTTGCGCATCAGAATGCACTAATTAAAATCCAGGTAGTCGTCACATAACAAAATATAATATATATTCGAGCCACCCGTTAANTTAAATATTTAATCCCGATATAGGCAGAACTTAGTGCGATTCTTTTTGAAAGTTCATTACAATTGAACTGCTTGATGTTCACTCATAAAAATTACTGGCGGGCGGATGCGATTGAATTATTTGTTACTTTTTTTACATACANATATAATAATTGTGGAATCATTAAATGACAATGCGTTCATTATTTGTGTTTGTTTAACAACTGCATATGCCAAATCATTATTTGAAATTACAATATTATTTGACGTAACAACATAATTATTTGAAGTAGTAATAATATTATTACTTAAGTATAATATTAAGGTACTTCATCTTCTGCACATTGTATTTTAAACAAATCTCAATTATCCTTCAGATGGCAGAGAAAGGCTGAAAATTACAAGTGTAAGTTTTCGAAGAAGTTTAGGGCTACAACATAGCCAACACGAGCACGACACGTGCTTCATGTAAACATTAGATAAGAGAACACGGTGTAGCCCGCGTTAAATTTCCCATATACGACAAGTCGAGTTTCGTCCGTGCAAAGCATCGATAGCTGGTAGACGACTTCGTAGTAAAACAATTTTATGTGATCTGATCTTTTTGAAAGAAAATAAATTACTATTTTTTACCTAACGGCACTAATCTCTAAATTTAATTGTTAAAGTAAAACACTTCATGTAAATATATGCGTATTAAATGCATTTTTTAAATACAACATTACACAAGTGCATCGTCGCATTACATAAATATTAATTACATTATCAAGCAGTACATATACGGTATACTTCTGTCTTAAATATTATGTTTCACGTAATTTTATATACAATTTTCAAACACCGAAAGTTATAGAAGTAAGAAGTATTAAATTTGAACATTTGTTTTTGACGATAGTTTGTTAGTGACCTTTGCCAAAATCGTAAACACAAAGTTAAAGAAAATATTTGACTCAAGTTCACCGTTTGTGTTAAGTACAATTTTCTCAGAATATGGGAACGTACAACTTAATTATGTAAAATTTAAAAATTTAAATAATATAAAAGTATTTACTATGACATTTGTAAACTTGCATAAACATAAATTTTTGCGTCACTGTTACTACTAAGTAAATCTTTGTTATTATATTTTTTTAGTTTTGTAACTGTTTATTTGCATTACTTTTTCAGAGTATTTTTAATAGCTATATTGCACGTTACGTGTTTTAGCGTTGTAACAACTAACAATACTGGATCTATTCAGTATGCGTTATGTACCACTGATAAATGTATTAGTGCGGATAGGTGCAAAAAACAAATTGATTAAATTGCTCTTGTATTGCGCTATATATCTTGTCTTATGTGTGATATTGTCACTGATTATTTCTATTTTTCTATAGCTTCAGAGATTTTAGCCAATCTAAATCGTACAGTTGACCCTTGTGATAATTTGTACACATTTGCCTGTGGCGGATGGTTGCAAAATAACTAACCAAATGATTTGTTTCTATATATTACCATATTAGATTCGATCACAAGAAAAGTGGGGGATCAAGTTTGAGGTAATACATTTATTATATTGTTGCATTGGATTTGTTAAGAGGTACTTCGCCGAATTATTGTTCGGATTCTCCAGAGGATTATGTTCAAGAGTTAGGGGCGAAATTGGAGGAAATTCATCAGGGAGTTAGGGAGCGATTGGCGTTGAGGTCGAACAAGGCAAAGGTTCGTTATGATTGTAAAGCTAGACATATCCTATTTGATGAGGGGCAAAAGGTTTGGTTCTTTAATCCTCGCAGAAGCAAAGAAAAAGCCCCTAAGTTGCAGAAAAATTGGGAAGGGCCTTACGTAGTTGTTAAGAAATTAAGCGATGTAGTTTATTGTATTCGTCGCTTAGATAGACACAGGAATAGAGTCGTACACTCTGATAGACTGGCTTCGTTTTTCGAGAGGTGGGAACACACGTCGGAGCCCTGTGAGAATTAGTGGATGTTTGTTTTTTTTTTTGTTTAAAATGTTACGGATATTTGTTTATTTGTTTATTTGTTGTTGTGTTAATTGAGCTTGGTTACTCGTTTTCTTTTCTTTAATTCCACCGTTTACTCCGTTGCTACTCTGAATCTTTCCGTTTTGTCGTTGGACGTCGGGGGATTTTTGCTTCGCATCGAGTCGTCGCGAGATCTTCGTGTTTTGAACGCCGTGCTAGAAGTCCGCCTTACTCACGGTTTTGAGCGTGGTTTTCCGTGGGTCTTGGAGCAAATGCCGAGGCGGGGATCTGGGGTGTCCTTTTGGACGATGGGTCCACGTGAGTTCCTCCCCCCCCTTGTCCGAAGTCGGAAGAATTTTGTGGATAAAATTGCTCCAGAGGAGATTCTCGGTCAAGAGTTTCTCTAGTCAACTGGCTCATGTATTCTGAAACAGCAGTCTAGAAAAGAGCGGGAAGGTTGACTTCTTCTGTTGGATCATCGGGACGATGATCTAGAAGAGAGAGGGGGCAGTGTTGCGAGATGCGGCACGCGGTATATGAAGACTTTCGACGATCGATCGCTTGGGCGTCTTTTTGTTCTGGTAGCAACGGAATTTGTTGACAGCGAGGTTCAAGAGAGTGAGCTGCCGGATTCGGAATTGTCGACAGACTGGAACATTGGCTCGAGATTCTTTTACGTTTTCCGCGACTTATTGTAACGCGTTTTCCAATAAAGATCTAGTGTGTTATACGCGGTGTTTCTTTTTCTTTCCGCGGAGCGCGACAACGCAGCGGTAACGTGATTTAACGCGGCCGTGAGTGCAACATTTGCAACAATATATTTAAATATATATTTTAATATGTGTACAAACGCAAATATTTAGGAAAATAAAATATGCAAAATTAAGTCAAAAGTATTGATCNGAAAAAGTATTGATTTATTTATATCAAACAATCAAAAAAGTGAAAAGTAGGATTTGTGTAAAAAGTAGGAGTAGATAAAAGCAGTGTAAAATTACACAAAGTTTATTTATCAATATAAGCACTTAGGTACTTATACAACTTTGTTATTTTTTTCCGCATAGAGTTCATAGCAGAACCCGCTAAAGAAAGTAATACTAAAACTTTATTGAAAGTAAAACNATTAAGGTGTACTTCCGAATGACACCTGCTCCCGATTGATCTGGAATTTTGCACAAAAATAGTGTTCAATGAAACAACTAAACGCGCGTAGTCTTCGGCAAATAAAAAACAAATTTTTAAAAAATTAAAAACAATATCGACTAAAATCGATTTTAGATGTATTTCAGAATGACTCCTTTTTTCGATCAATCTGAAAGTTTGCACAAAAATAATGTTTGATGGAACAAACAAAACAACCGTAGTCCCAACTTCGAGAAATAAAAACCAAATTAAAAAAAAAAAAATATATCGACTAAAATCGATTCTATATAACATATATACACATATATAATACATAATAAATATATTATATATGATAGTTGTACTCACTGAAAAAGATTTTAAAGTAGCGGGTGATGAGAGTAGTGCATGCTTTGCACAAAAAGTTACAAATTTATTTTTTGCAGAAAGCAAGATCTACTGTCTATAGTAATTCTTTGGAAAATTCGCGTTTTTGATAGTGGAGCCTCCCTGCAAAGTGTCTATCGAGGTAGTGCCACTATCTCTATATATATACTCTAGCTGCGTTCAGATTATATATATTCACAGTCAATACTAAAAATCTATACTTTACGTCACATGTGCTATAGATTTCNAGTACTGGAAGTGAATATTGAAACGCAGCCTTTCTAATGCAAAGTAAAGTTGCATATAAGTTTACAATTTTGCACACAAAGCAAGATTTATTTTTTATCTACTGGATGCAAAACTAAATCTATAAGTATTTCTTTATACATTGCGACTTTCCGCGCTAAGTTTCTTCGTCGATTATTTTAAATTAAGTTTAATTAATAAAAATGGTTTTGGCCTTCCATGATNCTTTTAGTAGGAATTAGAATATTGAAAGACTTGTCCGAGAAGTTTTATCTTCTCAAGAAGTGTGTTGCGTTGTGTCAGAATATTGGACTTTTACCATCCAAACGCAAATGTCCTAAAAATGGAAAACATTTAATGAAGATGTATAATACTTCCCGCTTTTACCAAAGTTATATCCATTGCATTGGAAAGCGATAGCGGTGTCAAAAACATGGCGTAGAGCGAAATATGGCNGAAAAAACATGGTTTAAATTTCACAATTTGACTATGGAAGATGTTCTTTGTATTACTTATTACTTTGCTAAAGTTTTTAAATACAAAAATGTCGAAAATAAAATAAAAAATGTTGGCCGTTTAGAAGTGTCTCCAGAGTCTATTGC